GCTTCGAGGGCCAGCTCAGCTTTCCCTCTTCCACATAGAATTAACTGGTGAAACCAAGGCTTGGGAGTGATAGGTCGATGCACCATCACAATTTTTCAGGGCTGGTGGGGGCTGGGAATGGGGGTAGGGTGAAAATGGACAAAAATGTACTGCAATCGGATCGGGAGGGACTAAAGAGGCTGAGATGATTTATGCACTTTAATCAGATGCTCTGTTATCAGACCTACTATCCAAATGGTTGCAAATCTAATCTGGAGACTGAATCTCTCTATATTTGTCATTGTCCTTTCCACCTCCTTGGCGCAGCAGAGAGAGATAGATCATTGATCCTAGTCTTGTATGCACAGATGGTTAGGGTAAAATAGAGGATTAGGGCAGGAGATGTGACTAGACGTGAGGGAGTGCTCAACACCCTGTTTGATTCCTCTGGAAAGAGCCCTGGGGGTGCTTTGTTGGTGAGAGTTGAAAGCTTTTTTGTTGTTGTTGTTGTTTTTCCATAAGACGCGTGCCGTCCTAAATCTCAGACCTTCTCTCTGTCCTTTTTCTTCCCCATGGGGCTCTTGCTTTGCTCTTTTTTCTTTCTCTGTCTCTATTTGTATCTCCCTGCTCAATCGGTTTGTCTCTATCTCTACTTCTTTCTCCCTCTGTCTGTGTGTCTGTCTCTGTTTTCTCCGCCTCTTTCCTACTTACCCCCTACTGAAGTTTTTTACCATTAATTTTATCATTCCTCTACCTCCCTCCAACAGCCTGAGAGAAGAAATCATCTTGGAGAAGGATGCCTGCCAGTTCATCCAATATCCCTTTTCTGAAGAAGGGGAAGGAAAGAATTGAGGAGGAGAGAGGTTAAAGGTGGGAGATTCTGGTTCACTCTAGCTCATAAAATTGAGAAAGGGACAGATCTGAAGACAGCTGGACCAAGTGGTCCCAAACAGAAATGGAAATAAAACCTACTTGAGTCCAACACCCATCTTTTCAGTGGGGTCCAATAAGGAGGGGGTGGTTTTATGCATAGGCCCAAGTGAGTAGTATTTATAAACAGAGGGCTCAAATATTCTAACAAGTCAGCTCAGGAAGCTAAGAAAATTTTGGCCAAACTTTTGAAATGTAGGCTGAACTGCATTCATGAGTCAGTTAAACCCATAGGGCTACTTAACGGTGCCTATAGACCAGAGTTCTGAAGGGGTTACACCCAGTGGTCAAATTCTTCAAGGCTTTCCCTCCTTGTTTGGGGGGATTTATCCAGTTGTCTCTCAAGCTACCTATCTTCCCAGCCCAGTCTGAAGCAAGAGCTTCCCAGAAGTCTGTATAAGGAGCACCAACGATCTAAGAAAAGGGTGGGAAGAGGATAGAAGACTGAGGTTTTAGCCCTATCCAAAAGAACGAGTCACTATTATGAGTCGAGGAAAGGAGAGTCAACTTATATTTGGAGGTTTTGAATGTAGGGCCGTTTTCAGCTAGACCAAATACTGGTCTCAAGGACATTAGTGTAATCTCGTGGTAATGCAGTCATGCTTCTTTTCTCAGCGTGTACTGGATAATTTGAAATACAGTATTTCTAGAGTTAGGAATTGGATGGAAAGAAAAGTGGGAACGCTTAGGAAAAGTAATGGCCCTAGACGAAATCAAGCTTAAGATCTCCAGGATAATGTAATAGGAGAAATTTCAAGCAGAACAAAAAACATAAATGAGACAGAGTTTGTGTACTCCTCCAAGGAACCGTGTATTTTTATATAACTAATTCTTTCGTTAGGAGGTTGGAGGGTGAAGGCTTTGGAACGCAAGAACAGCTGGGTCACTTTTTTCTTTCCTCGGGGTCTTGGCACGTGTTAACTTGTGCGGGCTTACACACGCATTAAAGAGAAAACCATTTTTTTTCTTTTTTGTCCTGGAAAATAGAACAAAGCAACGCCTCTCCAATCACATTTCAGATACATAATCCGAAACAACAAATTACCCTCCTCGCGCATTTCCAGCCAGCATTCTGCCTTCTCTGTTTATATTATGACTTTTCTGTTTGCAATTATTTTTATTTTAATTTTATGTCACTTTAACATAAGCCAGAGCATTTTCTTTTAATGTTTTGTACACAACATGCTCTTTTTGATAAGATGTTCTTTCCTATTCTCTTTGAGTTTTCCTTTCCGTGTTTGGAGTTCTGTATCAGGCGTTTCTAATATTTCTCCCTTTTTTTAAGGATTTGTCCCTGTCTTGCTTTATTTGTTTGTGTGAAATTTAGTTTGAAAGGAGATCAGAGAGAGCAGGAGGGGTTTGTAATAAGAGAATGACCAAATGACCCAAAGGCTGATTATATGTCATTAACTGGAGACTTGGTGTATCCAAATTACCAAAAAGACCTCACTCAGCCAGATCCATTACCTTTGGATACATGCGAAGATAGTGGGATATATACAACTACAGGATAAGGAGCCGGGTGCAATTGTCAATAAACCGGTCCCAAGGTTTTCTCTCTTAGAAAGCTGCCTTTAAAAACTGAACTCTGTGGTTCCGTGGGAAAAGTTTATTAGAATCTGACGCTGCAGAAACAGGTAGAGAGTTCTGCCCGTCCCTACCCTTACCCCCCCCCCGCCCCCGGCATTAATATTTACATAACTAACATTTTTGTGTTGTGTCGTTGGAAGCAAAATTACAGGTAATTGTCTAAGCTCCAGAGAATAGTTGGAAATCAAACCAAGCTGCTTTTGATCTATGCACGCTGCTAAACCCAAACCTCGTAAAAAATCGAGGTTTTCCATTAATATTGACAATAAAAGTGTTTCTTTTTGTTAACTTGAAACCTAACAACCCGTCTAAAGTCGTTTTTCTGTAACAGGAAGTCCCCTATAACGTCCAAGAAAAAAAAATGCTTGCAAGAAAGCTGTCCGTAGAAGTCCCATCCACGTGGAGTTACAAAGAAGGCTGCAAAACACGATTCCCCAGGACTGTAGGCAATATTTGGGAGCTAGAAATGTAAGTGCTACCCCGAGTTCGGGAGTTAGAAGCATGCTGGCTCTGTTATTCAGGTTCTTGCAAGGCTCTTCCTTTTAAGGTGTACTTCTCTTCTAAATGGATATTGCCAAGGAGTCTGCACCGAAATCTAATTGAAACCCGCTACTTTCGACAGATAAACAGTGTGTTTGCAAAATCACAACTACTTCCTCAATCAAACTTCGAGTGGTTTCCTCCTGACAAGAGGTAAATATTGCCCTTGCTGGTGTCGTGCTTCAAACCAGAGTGGGCAAGCCCTTGAAGGGTCTGAGTAGCGAGAAGGTCAGTTTACTTCAGTTACATTTTCATTCGCTATGAAGAGTACCTACAGAAGTATAGGCAAGATTAGATCGCTTACCCCCCAGTCAAAGTCAGTGTAGACTCGTCCTCTCTGCTCGCCACAGGCCTTATTTTCCCTAACACAAACTAAAGAACTTTGAGGTATTTCTCCCTTCTGTCTTAAATTCTCCCCCTAGCAAAACTTTGTGTTTAGGATTATCTGGTGGTCCGATTTTTAGCATTCATAGAAGGTAGACATCTTCAGAAGGGGAATTAATATTAAGATAATTCTTTGATTTTTTTTTTTCGTTTTAAGTAATGAATTCATTGCTTCTCACTTTAGCACATTCAACCTGATGTTCTATGACAGGCTGGGCTTTACAGATCCAAACACTGTGGGAAAGCACAGTGGGCGCCAAGACAGAACTCAGAGGTAATCTGAAGGAAAGGAATTTAAACTCAAAGTAATCGATGACTCCTATAATGAGTTTAAAGTTTCAGGAACAGACACGAATTGAAGGACCTACATCTGTCCCTCCAGTCTATCACTGCCACTGACACCCACCCAAAGAAAGCTCCATCTCTATGGACAAGTCAGAACACTGGGGGAAGGAGGAGGGAGGGGCCTTTCTACTATTACCCTCAGTCTCAGCCATCCCCATCCCCAATGCACTCCCACTCTCCCACTCAGAATCACGATTAGACATTTGTGGGATGTAGGTACCCTACAAAAATTACTCCTCCCCACCAGTAGCAAACCATGGTTTGAAAACTGCGCCCCCTATACGTAACTGTTGATCATAAATTTTGAGTCCAGCATAGGAGACTTGACTTAATACAAAGTAAAAATCCAGGTGTCAGTTGGCAATGAAATTTTCTGGTATTAAAATTATATGCATTTTAGAAGTCATATAAAATGGCATTCCTCGTCATGCTCCTCTGCCTGCTGAGCCCTAAGCACTTGCATAACTTACCTACCTCTAGTCTTTGTTCTGTTAACATACACTCACCCCATCCTCCAAATATAGGAAGGAAACAAGTTATCTTATTTAAAATGGGACAAACCAATGCCAGCTACATAAATTACCCCCTACGAATCTTGAAAAAGAGTCCTAATTCTTAGAGTGGTAGTAAAAAGATAACAAAATCAAACTAGTTTAGTTTCTACCTATGATCATTTCCATTAAAAAAAAAAAAAGACGGGGGGGAAAAATAACTAATGCAGAGATGATAACTAGCTTTTCTTCAGAGTAAAGTTTTCACTGTTTCAAATTCCCTAAAAGTCTTACAACTGTAATGCTGGTATTCAGCAGATATTAAATCAATTTTCATGAGAGAGACAAGAGAAGAGAAACAGAGGCAGAGAAGGACCCCGGTGGTAAGCAACCAGCTGAGTGGTTCCATGTCACCTGAGCAATGTTTCTGAAGCCCGAAGCCCAAACGTCCCATCTCTTTATAGAACAGTTTGTGTTCTCCACACAGTTCCCCACTTTCATGCTTAATCAGAGAAGTTTCTGAGAGTCCACTTTATCCTAAGACATTATGGAAGATTAAAAGCAAGGTCAAAGTCATTTCTAATGTGACAGTTTGGAAAACGTGAAATTAGATTTGAAAAAGATGACAAAGGAAATTGAGATGTAATCCCGTCAACACAAAACACGAATTTATGGTCCATCTGGCCTGATTCTTTTGATTCCTCTTTATGGTCCAGTTTATTTTGAATTATCCTGCACAAAACATAAGATAGAGACAGTGCTTTGCTTTGAATCATAAATACAAGAAAAGGAGCTCCACCCCCCCCACAAAACAAGTGTCAGCTTTTCTTTAAAATATAAAGATTGAATCTGATTTTTAAGTAGTATTCTACAAAGACCAACCTCTTACAATGTTCAGCCCCTCCCAACACATTTTGAAACTCTTCCATGTATGTAGGTGGGATGAAAAAAAAGACAAGTAAGGTGGGTTCAAATAAAAGTTTGTGCCTATTTGTTGGGGAGGAGGGGAGGAACAACAAGTACTTGGTCTACCAGATGAGCTGCAACGAAGACAATTACTCTATAATAATAAAAACCTATTGGAAGCTATAGTTGATTCTTGGTGATTCAGGTTCTAGTGTAGAGGCTGCAGGAATGATGGGGAGTTAGATGGGGGATTTACTGTCTCTGTTAGATAAGAGATTAGAGAGAAAGAGAAGATTCTCCAAGGTACCTTTAGACTGTACCTTCCCTAAGACTGAGGCCCTAGGCATTCTAGTTAAACCTTCTAGCTAAATTTCCCAGTCCAATACCAGTCAGCCTTACGGAGCAATTCTCACTATTGTGCCATTTCTTGCCTGATTCAGATGCATCAAAGATGGTAGTCTTCCTCCATATTTCTGGTGACTGTGGTTTGGGTGGGAGAAGGTGGATACTGGGACAATAATGGCTATGAAGTAATGCTTCACTGCAACAACAAAAAGAAAGAGGGAAGAGATTTTTTTTTAATTTCAGACAGAAATACCCCTCCTCTTCTCTTTCTCTATCCCTCCTGCCCACCTCACCACCACCTTCTTCATGCCCTCACCATTAAGTGCTGGCACAGCCACTTGGGGAGGTGAGTAGTACCTAGGCCATCTGAACTGGAAACATAGATAATAGAATTAGCTTCATCTTAACAGTGGGGCCAACACCTTACAGAAAAATTGCAAGAAGGGAAGGGGGTGGGCAGATTTTTATTTTTAAAAAAGGGGGGGGGTGGGAAGGCAAAGAAAATCCTTTTACTTCCTCTCTCAGTCTAGGTCTTCACAGGAATTGCAGCAAAGATAAAACCGTGGACCCTAAATTTAATCAATTAATTTAGTTGAGAATAAAAAAATCTTTTTTTGATTTTTTTCCCCTATCTCATTCAACTTGATGTACCTGCTTCTCATTGAGGCTAAAGAATCTTTGTCTAGGTTTCAAAAGTCTCTGAGACACTGGAATCCTAAGACCCTTTGGTACGACTTATAATTAAACTCTAATGATGCTGTCCTGGAGTATTGATGTTCAGATTAACATCTCCAGCATCTTTTATTACTTTTTCTCTGCCTCATGTTTTCCGTTTCTTTCATCACTTGAGATCCTATCTGCGCAGTGGTAGTGGTTTACCACAGCTTTTTTCTCAGTTAAAAATAAAGTCAGAAAAACTGTATAATGGAAAGCTCCCGAGGCTTTGCTTTTAAGAATAAATTGCATCCCTGTGACCAAAGCGGCCTCTCTAACCCATTTTGGCCTCAGTAAAAAATGGTTTCTACCTCCTCCTCACCCCCAAAACTCTACATACAACCAGCCAGAACATTGCTCAGTTTCGACTTTTCCTCGATTCTCATCTGCTCCTGGCCCAGTTCAAACAACATCTTGCTTCATCTACCTGCTTGCCTACCCTGGACGTGTTTTTATAAACACAGACATTTTAAGAAATATATCAGATGTCAGTCTGTGGAAGGCCTAGTATTTATGCATTTGGTGTTTGCCTCTCCCGGGAACCAATACACAATACCGGCTGACTACACTACCAGCTTTGTTCTCTTGATGAGGCAACTGGAAACCAGAGAGACCTCTTTGGGTGCAAGCTTTTTAAAGAGTATTTACATCTTAAAGACCGAACTGCAGACCTGCCTAGGTTGTGACTGAGTTTGGCTTTTGGATTTGGGGTATTACTTTTCTTTCCCTTTTTCTATTTTTTTGTTGGAGGGGGGTAGTGGGAAAGTGTGGGAGAATATGGGTTCCCAGGAAGAACCTGGTTTCACGTATACATCATCTCTCTACTTTTAGGCCCTATAATTTGGACTTCTAGGAAAGTCTGGCCCTCAGGGTAAGTGGGCATTTATGCAAATATGCATTCAGCTTCTAGGCCTTCCCCGCGAGCGTGAGTTTATTCTCTTTGGGTAGAATCAAACCAGCAAAGTGAAACCCTAGATATTTTCCCTGGCATTATCCGCTGCCCAAGGAAAGGTGATCTGGAGGTGGTGGCCGCTTCCTTTCGATGCTCAAGTGGAAGTCAAATCAGCTGGAAACCCAGCGCCGTGCCGGAGTAGGTAGGGTGAACCTAAACCCCACAACAGAGTCATGACGGTGCCCTAGCTTTCAGTTCGGCCAGCATCACCATGCGGGTCCCTCGTTTTGGTAGGAAAATAGGTCGCACCAACGATAATAGTGGAGCTTAAAACTGCATGTTGTCTGAGATCCCTGCAGCTCTACAGTAATGACATTATGAGATCACTGTGGATTGAATAAATTAATAAAATTCCTTATTCCAGCGGGTCATCATCTACCGATAAAAGCATTTGTCTGCCCCAGCGCCAGTTCTTCCGTTATTAACCCACCAAGAGATCCCAAGTCTGCCCTTCATGGATCTCCCCAGCGACATCGCCTTTCTCTCTGAGCCTTGGCAGAATTTGGGTTCAGAGTTTCTTTGTCTTGCTCCAGCCTCTCTCCCTGGCTCTCTCGCATTTACGGCTCGCACGCTCCTGTTGACACCCTTGTCCGCACAGAACTATATTGTACTGGATTCTAATACGCACCAAATCCAGGTCCTCGCTTGTCTCGGAGCTAAGCCAACCCAGGACTGGTATTAGCTATTTTCACTGCTGTTATCCTGTTCCTTTTTAAAAGATGACCACGGAGTCTTGGCTCAAGGTGCCCTCCAGCAAGCTACCCGTGAGTTCAGTAAATTAGTACTGGAGAGCCATTTTCCCGTTATGATTCGTCTGAGATCACCCAGCCTAAATATCCAAATATCTACTGGCTCTCCTCTGGCCTGGCTGTTAAACTGGGGTTTAATGATTCCCCTTCGATAACTAAACCTGGTTTCCACAGATGCCTGCTTTTATGGGTGAGACAGGAATGCAGAGATATATTTATATGTTTGTTCGTAAAAACTGGAAAATAAGCTCTGAACACGCTGTAAAAAATATTCAGTTACTCACCAAACAGGCTAGTTAAACTGGCAGAAAACCGATATCGGCCACACCACTGATTCCGGGCGAACTAGATGCCGGGTTTTTAATAATCCGCAAGCTGGAGGAAACCCATTTGGGGGTCTTGGTGTCCCCTGCAAGAACAGTGACAATCGTTACATTAACCATAACCCTAATCAAAAACGAGGATGTCACAACCTTTTGACTCCGCAGTCAGTCTTTGACAGCGATGCTCACAAAATTACCCTTCCCTTTCAAGACTTTAGCTTAATTAATGGGAGATTGGTTAGAAAAGGAACTACTCTGTCAGAAGCTGTAGCCTCCTCCCCAAGTAAAGCCCTCCCTTAACAGCAGCTCTGGGCTTCGGACAAGAAAGGGAAGACTGTTCCTAGCGGCATCGGTTGTATACATATGCATATATAATACATATGAAAGCATCAATAAAAACATAGACTGAGCTTGGTCCTGGGGCTAGCGCAAAACCGCTACTGTGCTACTCCAATGACAGCAGGAAAAATGCATGGAGTGGTCTCTTTTTTTAATCCAATTTTTTTAAAAAGCCCTGAAAATTAGTACCTGTACTGTGTTCTTAATCAGAAAATAGTAATAATGACAATAAATGGAAATGATACTATACCTGGCTTGAGAAGATCTGGTTATTTTAGAGGATTTTTAATTTTTTTTTTTAAATAGTAAAGCATCTGCCAAACTCTTGCATTAACCATTGGCTGATTTCAAAAAAAAAAGTTTAAAAAAATCCTCCTTCGTTTTAATTATCTTATGGATATGAAAGGGTAGCCAATCCTAAAAGAGGACTTCAGCAATTAGCAACGTGAACATCAAAAAGTTTTATTGCGAAGAGCCTAAGGCACCGCCCCTGCCTCGCCGCTATTGGTGTGGACAGCCTCTGACGACATATATTAACCCGAGCTGCCCTAAAGATGTAGCTGTACATGGAGTTCTTGCTGGGAAAATCGGCTTGTTCCCAGCACGGCCACCAACCCAGGGAAGTCACCACCGAAACTCTCACTGCTGCCGCCACCGCCTCCGCTTCTGCGGATCGCTAGCTCGACCTACCAGCCAGACAATCCAGGCTCAGCCTGCCAGAATCAAGCGCCCGGCCTCCGGGAGGAGCGGTTGCCCCCCCGGCGCCTTCCGAGTCCGTCAGGACGCAAGAAAGGGGCCAAAGAAAATGGATGCGCTGAGACTGCTCTGAAAGGCCACGGATCCAAGCAGGGAGAAGAGGAACGGGGAACAAGTTCCTCGCGGGCAAAAGTCACATTCAAGGACAGACAGAAACAAACAAACCCCCCACCCCCATCGCATTAAAGAAAAAAAGACCCAAGAATCAAACGGGGGGGGGGGGGGGGGTGGGGGGGGGGGGGAGGGGAGAGGGAAGAGGAGGGGGGGAGGGGAGAATCGGATGGAGGTTATTTCTCTGTGACTGGTAGATCCCCCTCCGGTGGCCTCTGAGACGGCCAGTGCAGCCGGGCTCCTCTCCCCAGAGTCTCTGTGCCTCCCTCCCTCAGGGCTGCGCTGCAGACCCTACAAGATCCGGATCAAGGAAGTGGTCCGGCGATCAGTGGGGTAAAGGGAGAGAGGAATTGCCTTCCCTGCTTGCCCCATCTGAGTCAGGGGCAACCTGATAAATTCGTTCGTCCGCTGCTGCTGCTGTTTTACCGCCGCCTTGGTAACTATTTGAGATTTGGAAACCTAAGGGCCCAGAGACACTTTGGGAGGAGAACAAGGACTTTTGTATGAGCACGAAAGGACAACCTTTCCACGCTGCAGCAGCAACAACCGCCTCGGTTAGCCAGGAAGGAACAGGAGGAGGAGGAGGCAGAGAAGACGAAGAAGGAGAAAGCCTGGCTGCGCATCCGTGACCACGCCGGGAATTTGGCCAGCTCTATGGCTAGCCTCAGGCTGGACCAGTGCTGCTGAAGCCCCTCGGCGGGCCTGCCGGGGTTGGGGGGAGGGGAGGGGGTGCTGCTGCCGCCACTACCGCTGCGAGGTAGGGAAGGCTGGGGGGTGGGGGGCGGGAGGGGGTGGAGGAGAAAAAGGAGAGAGGAGGCAGCAGCTCCTGGCCCCAACCCCCGGGTGCAACCGGTAGGCTCTAGGGCCTTGTGGTTGAGGACACCGTGGGACTCTAGGTTGGGGCCCAGAGAGCAAAATGAGTCTCGTGGGAGGCTTCCCCCACCACCCAGTGGTGCACCATGAGGGTTACCCCTTCGCCGCTGCTGCTGCCGCGGCCGCCGCGGCCGCCGCCAGCCGCTGTGGCCACGAGGAGAACCCCTACTTCCACGGCTGGCTCATCAGCCACCCGGAGATGTCCCCCCCTGATTACAGTATGGCACTGTCCTATAGCCCAGAGTACGCTAACGGCGCGGCAGGGCTCGACCACTCCCATTATGGGGGAGTGCCACCTGGGAGCGGGCCTCCGGGCCTCGGGGGACCCCGTCCGGTGAAGCGCCGGGGTACCGCCAACCGCAAAGAGAGGCGCAGGACTCAGAGCATCAACAGCGCCTTCGCAGAGCTGCGGGAATGCATCCCCAACGTGCCCGCGGACACCAAGCTGTCCAAGATCAAGACCCTCCGCTTGGCTACCAGCTACATCGCCTACCTCATGGACCTGCTGGCAAAGGACGACCAGAACGGGGAGGCGGAGGCCTTTAAGGCAGAAATCAAGAAGACAGATGTGAAGGAGGAAAAGAGGAAGAAGGAGCTGGTCAGTAACTGTAGGAGTGGGGGAGGAGGAGGAGAGGGAGGAGAGATGGGGGAGGGGTGGTTATGTTACTGCCGGCAGAAGGCCTTATCAGTATTGAAAATAACGATATTCCCAATTCTTCTATTTATTTTCACACGTTTCTCCGTGGAAGGAGGAGGAAGTCCCCCATCTTTACACATCTCTGCAGCAGAGCTTCGTTCCTGCTAACTCACTCCTCAGGCCAGATTGCTAGTACCCGCAGAACTAGTCTTCATTAAACACTTATAAGCAATAATAGAGTTTTAGTATCAAAGCGTTTTATTAGTTAAAGAGGGGACTCATAATTTGAGAGGAATTTGGAGGCAGGCTAGTCAGGTTTTTACTCGGAAGTTGCAATTGTTTTTACCTTCAAGTATTATTTATTTAAAACTGCAATACAAAGCCTTTAAATCCCTTCAGGATTTAATAATGTTTGCAAGGTCGCGTTAACCACCTCACAAGGACATATTATAAAGCAGAGACACCTCTTTAGCTAACCTCCTCCTCTTACCCGCCAAAATAAATATATATATATATATATAAATAATTAAATAAATAAATAGATGAATAAATAGATGAATAAATAAATAAATAAAGACTACCCTCGTTCACTAACTGCCACATTGCATCCCTTATTTTTGCCTCGGATACGGCCATTCCTTCTCTTTCCCCTAAATCGAATCCCTTAGAAATCCCCAGATCAACTTAATTTGCCATGCCAACCATGTGAGTAACCGGTTTTTTTTTCAATGAAAATAATTCCATTCCCATGATTCGGGGGTCTTAAGAGCTTTGTTGTTGTGTTAACCAAAAATTAGAGAGAGAAGGGGGAAAAGTCCAACACTGTGTTTGGTGAGGCTGAAGTCGTAAAGAAGGTTTAAAGGCACCACAGCCCCACATCCCATGCTTGACTAGCAGGGAAATACTGAATTCATGTTCCCCAGCTGGGTATGATTCCTGGGCATATGTGGTTTTATTTCAATCTGATTATAAATTTTAATTTGAGACACAACAATAAATATTACTGTTCACATTATGGCTCTTGTTCAATAGTGAGAATTTTTAAACCATTTTCAGAATTCTCTCTTTTTCTTATGAACAAGAATGGGCGATGTTTAGTATGTCTTGATTGTTCAGAAGAGAATCTTTAGAATAATACCAGTGACCCGCTTTCTTCCCTGGGGGCCGAGGGTGCCTCAGTTTTTGCTAACTAGTAAGATCCCAAAAGTGTGGATAAATATTGCCCATTCGAGATTTCATGCAATCAGCTGTATATCTGAGTAGTATAGAGACTACCATTAATAGTTATTGGATGACAGAAAGACCCTTGGAATCTCGTTATCCGCGGGTCCTTGGGCCAACCAGAAAACCCAAGCCAGCAAGGGAGAGCCGGGGGCCAAGGATTAGGCAGTGTGTGGCTTTGAACCCGGGAAGTCTTTGCCCAAATCTTCCCCTGCACCGAAAGTTTTCGGTTGCCATTAAAAACATCCAAAAACAGACTCCCCCACCCTACCCCCCAGAGGCACTCTACCCCCACCTGAGGTACACATCTGGCATAAGGGAAAAGGCCCCCAGCTTTACTATAAAATATTTTAAAACAGGCGGTGGTTTTATAAACTTTCCGATGCAGGAGGGTTAGCGTTGCAAACAGGAGGAGGCCTAGCTCTGCCTGAGCCAGAGCTGCAGAGATCTTTGTAATTTAGTTTGTCTCCTCTGGCCCTGGCTGAGCTTTTTTGCTGTCTCCCTCCCCCATCCTGGCCCCTTTCTTGCTATTTTCCATAAGGTGGGATGCAATAGGGCTATCGAAGGAAATCACTTATCATTTCTAAATTTCTCCTTTGCTCTTCTTTCTCCCTTGCTTCCTCTATGCCCAGAATGAAATCTTGAAAAGCACAGTGAGCAGCAACGACAAGAAAACCAAAGGCAGGACGGGCTGGCCACAGCATGTCTGGGCCCTGGAGCTCAAGCAGTGAAGAAAAAGAGAAGAAAAAAAGAGAAAGAGGGAGAAGAAGGAAGGAAAAGTCCCATGGCTGGACTTGAATAGACTCAAGGAAAACCTCTCCAGGAGGCTCTGCAGACATCTGCTCCGAGGACTTTTTATATTTGGAATCAGCCAGTTTATTTATGTGCAATTTCCCTCCCCTCTCTCCTGTTCCCCCTTTTGAAGCATCCTATCCCCATCCCCTCCTTTTAAAAAATGGATATTTGAAGAAAAGCATTCCATATTTTAATATGAAGAGGAAACTCCAGTGTGGTAAGGGGTTCTATCGTCTCATAGGTTTGATTTGTGTTGGGTTTTTGTTGTTGTTGTTGTGGTTGTGGTTGTTGTTTTGTTTCTGTTTTGTTTTTTTTTAAGAGTGTGTGTCCGTGTGTGAATGTTCCTTTTCTGCCTGTATAGGACACTCAGTATTGCAACTCAAGCAACCCAGCTAAAAGACTCCTGACATCAGTGTGTATGTGAAGTGTATCTTTAATACTTGGCCTTTTGGATATAAATATTTCTGGGGATGACAAAGTTATATTTCAAAGCAGAAATGGGGCCACTAATGAATGTTATTCCGTTGGTTCGGTATGCAATGTTGCCGTTTAATTAGTGGGCTTTCCTTATTTGAAGATATTCCCAAGAGCTACTTGTGTTGTGCACTTCCGTCCTCTAAAAAGAATTAGTGGAGTTTAATTAATATTGAAGGTGTAAACATTGTAAGTATTCAATAAACCACTGTGTGTTTTTTTACAAAAAAAAATCTTTTTATGTTTTATACCTCAAAGTGTTTTGAAAACAAAATTGTTATTCTTGTTTTCATACTATTTAAAAGATTGAGAAGTAAACTAAGTTATAAAGATTGCCTCTAACTTTATTTTAAAGAAGTCACTAATTAAAACCAATCCACATATATAATCCTCACCCACCCACCTCAGGACCCTCTGAACTACAGCCAGAGGGACTGGTGAGAGCAGTCTTAAGCTCCAAAGGCCATAGGGTTTTCCAGGTCAGCTCTGAGTG